TTTGCCCCATCTTTTACATGTCACCTAGCTAGTTACATGAGAGCAATTTGGTCCTCATGCAAAATTGGGATAATTTGTGTAGTTGGTAAAATGGATAATTCATCCTACCGATGAGTAATGTACATATCGTTTTTTTGCCTTTTGGGAAAATTCCATCTATAATGATACAACCGAACGCTTTGTATAGTAGAATGCGTATTTTTGAAAGAAAAAAAATCTATCCACGCCGATAAGCTCGAACGCTTTGTATAGTCGAATGGTAAAAAGTAAAAATTGCGCGGTTGATGTGGTTCTGATGTGGCATCATAAAAATAGTCCGGTTCGAGCACATCTTGATCCAAGTTATGTTATAATAGGTATTGAAACAAATATTATTGTTGAAATAATCCATGTGTTATACTATTATCTTTGATTGAGGCTTTTGTTACAAAGGTTTTTCTAATCAAGTTCTTGACAAACCACATGTAATTCAATATCCAATAGATAAATTTGGTATGATGAGAATGAGTTGGAAATTGTAGTTATTATACTAAAAATAGCATGATGATGATGCAATGACTACAATAAGTATAAAAAAAATAAAAAAAACAATCAATAAGTTTATGTGACACTCGTACAAATCCAGGAAGGATTCTTATGATGCATGCAACATATATGTATGATGCTTTGTTCATTATGGTTGACGTTATGTTTCATTGGTTGGCTTTATATTTTTAATGAGACAACATGAATGTCGTATTTAAAAGAGTAATGTGATTTTTCCTTCATCAAAATGTTGTCCTGTTCAAAATTTTCTAATAAAGTTTTATCGAATAATGTATACTGATATAGCACAAGAGAGTATTTTGGGTAGACCGGCAGGGTAGACCGCCAGGAATCAATTCGGTTTATTAGCCAAGAGTATGTTTGCGAGATTGTGGGTTTGCTAGACATAATAGACTGTTAAAATGTGTGGGCTCGGCCCAAAGACAAATCGGCCAGATGAATGGGCCAGGTGGATTGAGGAAGTGGGCTAACACTAAAATGGGCTTAGCAGTTATCACATGTATGAATGAAGAAGCAAGCGTGGAGAAGAAGCTAAGGACTTGCATATAAATAGGTAACGCAGGTATGACGGGGGACTAAGTCTCTTTACCTCCAAAAAACCCTAATATACATACTGATCCTTCCTGAATACCCTACTAACTTGAGCGTCGGAGGTTTACCGCCGGGAACCCTTCCCGGCGTCTTTGCAGGTCTTGGAGGGCTCAAGCGGTTGGGTTCAAGGAGAATCGGTCCAGCGTGCAAAAGCACATCATATACAGTATAATAAGGACCACTGGATGATATAATTCTTCATTATGATGAAAGAATAAAACG